TGGGGGGGCACTGGACGACTGCAGGGACCATGTCTTACAGCTGCATTGATTAACGTTTGTGAGTGACTAACAAGTCCTCTTGTGTTGCAGGGGCTCCCCTGGAGCCTGTCCCGGCTCAGTTCCAGGTGAAGCAGCTCTGTCTGCTGTACACGGTGCTGACAGTGAAGAGTCTGGTGTATTGCTGTGGACTGGTTCTGCTGATGAGCTTCAGAAACAAGGGACCGACCAGCAGCTGTGCACATGCTGACTGACTGGCTTCTCTCACCACCACATCTCAGCACTTTGTCTCATTACCTCCGCTCTGTGATTTTAATCCTCTGTGTGTGTTTTATTGGTTAGTAGGATTATGGACAAACGACTGGATGCATCATCATCAGCGTACCTGGTACAGACATTGGTGGGGACTGACCCTAGAAGTGATTAGAGTTTTAGCTAAAAAGGTCAAAGGTCAAGGTTACAAACAATAACAAAAAAAAATCACATAAAAAATTCCCATCTTTAAGATGAGGTAAATTTTTAAAAGATCTCTGTCAGAAGTTATCGAAATTATTATTTTTTTTAAATTTGACACACATAATGTCTGTCACCAGACCAGATTTCATCCAGATCTGATGCACAGTATAACTACCTGTCAGACCCTAGGAGATGATCCAGGGTGATCTGATTTTGTGACACATTTTGTATTGTTCTGGATCTCATTTTTTCACCAGGGACCCATTTGCATGAGCGACCGCTGTGCCTTGGTGGAGGTACATGCACTCTGACTTCTCTTATCACTGCCATCAGCAGTCAGAAGTACACATGTAGGGGTAAATATACACATATTTGCAGTTACAAAATGTAAATTCTGTTTTTGAGGGTTATTTTAACAGACTCGTTTAGAGTGCATAAACTTTTTATTTTGACTTGTGTAATCTTATAAAATTAAGATGAATTACTGGGAGATTTGTTCTTTTAGACTTTTTCTTTTACTTGTTTCTTTTTAATACAGTTCATGTTCATTTAGTGTAACATTATCAATAAACTAAAGAATGATAGTGTGTCTTATAAACATTAGTATTATGACTTCAAAACAAAGAAATCAGAAACAGAATTGACTTCACTGGAAAGTGTGCTGACAGCTACAAGTTTTCAGATTGTGGTTGTGTTTTAGCTTCTCATATACTTTACACAGTGTCCAGGAGAAACATGCATAGACATGCAGTAAGCATATAGCTGAACAAGGAGAACAATCCTGATAAACAAACATTTAGCTAATATACCCAAACCTGTAGGTATGGGTGTGCCACCAGGTTCAGTGCTGGGTCTCCTCATTGTTTAGGTAACATTTAAACCATCTTTGATAGTTGTACCAGTATAGATATTGTAGATCATTATGATAAATGATCTGTTCATAAATACACTGTGGTTTGCATATTCTAACGGTTGTACTTTAAATGTGTTGGGCTCTTTAAGAGCAGACCCTTCCTCTTGGGATCCACCTACCAGGAACTGAGCAGTAATAGGTCTGGAGGCATGTAACGTGTCGTACTATATAGAACACCAACAGTGTTAATAAAATGTTATGTTCACTTGTATAAGTCATAAAGCAATTCCTGAGACATACAACAGATATAAAATGCTACACTGATAATGCATTTGTTTACAGACATGAACAGAACAAAAGGCTGCTTAGAGTTTACAGCACATAAAGTTAGACAAATGAAATCACCGACTCTCAGATCTTGATTCAAGTATTATGATGAGTGTGTGGTGTGGACCCCAGATGCAGACTCAAACTAAAGGAATAGGGACTATAGAAGGCAGTTAATTAAATAAGTAATAAGTATGCTGAGTGGCAGGAAGTCATGCAGGCTCAGGGCTTGCCGCAGGCAACAGGTAAGGCGAGGAACCAGGAGGATGGGGAAGTGAGTGGGGCGAAGATCAGGGTGTGCATTTCAGGACCTGTAATAATCAATGAAACAGCAGCGAATGAGTGAAAACAGGGTGTATATGTATAAAGCAGGACCGGGAGATGATGAGCGGCAGATGAATGGCATGATAGCTGATTATGGTGGCAGAACAGTGGGGAGAGACGGAGTAAATGCAAACACAAATACAGGAAGTGAAGCTAAATCGTAACATTAAGAACAATTAAAATGATTAGATGAAAATACTCCCAACTAAAAATTTGGACAAATTAAAATTGTCTTGAATGGATGGTTTAATCTACATTAATTTACCCCCCCCTTTCCTCTCATTTGTTGTCAACACTGGGTGGAGGGGTGATGAGTGTGTGTAGCTGCAGATCTGAATCTGTTCTCAGTGGTTATCAGGACTCATTTAACCTGTTGACAGCCAGCCCAGACTTCATTTCCTGCAGCAGCCAGGCTGTGTGGGTTCATGCTCTGCAGCCTCAGCTGTGGTTCGTCTCTTTAATGACACATTGACAGTTACAACCAGAGAATAGTTCCATGAAGGATCAGTGTTAATAATCTATGAGAGAAGCAGCTCACACATTGAAGTCACATTGGAGAAATGAACTGTGGGGAAATAAAGAAGAGACGTTAGAGCTCCTGCAGTCTGCTCACAGCCCGTTTCATTACCTGACACAGTCTCAGTGTTTAACGCCTCAGGAGCTTTGACACCAGACAAAACTGCATCATAGTGTCTGAACATAGCAGCATGGAGAATAAAGCAGTGTGTTTGAGTGAGCTGTTGATGGACATCGGGATTATAATAAATAATGGATGAATGTCCATCTTGTCATGAACATTTCAGAGTTTTCACCATGACTGCAAATGAAAATAGTGCATCAGTTCTCATTAATCTGAGCAACAGGACACAAACCACAGAGACAAACAGGTCATATTGTTGTTCTCGTCAGGAAACAAAACTAAGGCGTCCGTGTTGGTTCACCTCAGCTGTCATTGTTTCACTAGTTTACATTTGAAATCAACATCCTGCCAGAGGAGGCTGTGCATGTCAGCGAGGACTAAACATTATTTCATTTTTTCCTTATTATTATGTTCACTGTGGTTCTTGTTCATGTTTGAGTCATTTTCTTTGTCATTGAATCTTGTTCTTTTTATTTATTCAGTGTTGCAGAAACCACTTTCGCAAACTATCAATTACTTCACACTGAAACAAGTTAAACTACAGTAAAGCTATTCCATGTAGTTTGGTAAACTAAAGGTAATTTTAAATAGTAGTTCAAACTACTTTGTAATAAATTATCAACCTGACACATGTGATACAAAACTAAAATCTCACCTGGAGCAAAAAAATGCCACTCAGTTTATTTACATGAGACAAAAAACTGTTCTAAAGGAAATAGTCCCATGTGGACATTTAACAGTGATATTATATATTTCTTGTAAACAAATTTGGATTTTGTATTATGTAAAACTATAAAATATTAAAATACGAGCCTGATGTGTTACTCATCAGTTTTGCGACATCTGACCTGAACGAACTAAAAGTCTAAACCTACAGCTTTTCGACCACAGCTGGAACACTGGTCTAACTGGGCCCGTCTTTTACTTCTTGAAGCAGAATCTCTGGTTTATATGACACATGAGGAGTTTCTCAAAGTTCCAAGTGCCCAAAAGGTGGTTGTGGTTCGAGAAGCAATGGCAAAATAAAATTTAAAACTATCATTCCTTTCCTTTTATGGCCCAAAATTATTTGCTGCAGTAGGTACCTAAATAGCAAAAAAGTAATCTAACTACTTCACTCACTACACAACTATGAATGTAGCTGAACTACCAGCAAGCTACTGCAAAATGTAGTTAAACTACTGGTTTAATTACATGTAGTTCACTACTCCCCAACACTGGGTATATTTTACAGAGATTAAGCAAAGATGCTTTGGAATATCTCAGTCAGGTTTTTCTTCATATTCTTAGATGACAGTTAAATCTTTAGTCTCACCCACCTTGTAACATATTACAGTGTAAAAAAAAAACAAGGCAGATGGTCTTAATATACATGAAGATTTTAGAACAAACACACAAGGAAAATTTCAGTTGACCATTTTATTTAGAAAATGTCTGAAATTAGATTTTGACTGTTCCTGATGTATGTGATTTTTAAAATTCTATTTAACAGATAATGTGTCTACAAAGTAAAACTGCTGTTTCAGAAGTTTTATGATTTTTCTCTTTAAATAAATACATAAATACATGTGAATAAAAATTAAAAGACAAAAATAAACTCACCTACCATTTTTCTAATATTCAGACTTCACCCCTCTCTTGCTTTTTCATATGTGTAAACAACAGTGTCATCAGCATATTGGTTATAAAAGATGATTCAGATTAAAGATAAAAGATGAGGAAGCACTGAACCTGGCAGGACAACTACTGCTGTTTGTTTGTAGATATTATGTATGTTAATGTTTAGCTTTGTTATGTTGTGTGGCTGTGCGCTTATATTATGTGGAAGCATATTAAGTCAACATACCAACAAACTGTAGCTCATTCTGTTTCAAATTATTTGCCTTGAAGCTTCGAAGCAACTGAAATTCATCCACAATGTGCAGAGAATGTATATAGATAAAACACAGACACTGGTTTTTCACTTTATTGAGAATGGTCAAATGATGTAATGTATTACAAACAAAACAAAATAGAAAATTACTATAAAATAAAATATCTACCACAAATGATTCAGCCCAATTTTCTACTACGATAAAGTCATTATTAAGTCTATAAATACGCTACATCATCCAAATATCACTATCCTAAAGAAATAACTGCAAATGTGTGTATTATATATTTTTAATGTGACTGTAGCTAACCTGTGCATGTACATGTTCCAACCAAGCCGAACATGTTATTATTGACCTTTTTGAAAGTGATAAATGAGACAAAGTACTGAGATGTGGTGGTGAGAGAAGCCACTCAGTCAGCATGTGCACAGCTGCTGGTCAGTCCCTTGTTTCTGAGGCTCATCAGCAAAGCCAGTCCACAGCAGTACACCAGACTCTTCACTGTCAGCACCGTGTACAGCAGACAGAGCTGCTTCACCTGGAACTGAGCCGGGACAGGCTCCAGGGGAGCCCCTGCAACACAAGAGGACTTGTTAGTCACTCACAAACGTTAATCAATGCAGGGGCATGAACTATCTGATCTTACATTCCACTGGCTGCAGAGCTGGATGGTCTGTTGGCTCTATCTCTGGAGGACAAGTGGCTACTGGAGCTGGAGCCTCTGGAACAGAAAAGGAATCAGATGTTTGGAGCTGCAGTGAGAAACATCAGTCCTCTGCT